CCACAAAAAAGGAAAGAAAGAGGTGCTGATCACCTGACATCAAACAAGTGAACCTACTACAGGTTCTGTCCTGGCACACGACCAGAAAAAAAAAAAAAAAAAGGAGGAAGGGAGAGAGGGTACTTCAGTCCGATGCAGAAGAAAAAATATTCTGGATCTTCAATAAACCAAACTGTAGCTGGCGAAGGGAGAAGACAAAAAAGAAGCTTGCTCGATCTATCCTTTCAGATCTGACAGTCTCGCTCTGATACCATGTTATCTAGAAGAGAAGGAGAAAGGAAGAGAGAAGAGAGAAGAGAGATTGAGAGTCAAAAGAGATGCTGGCAGCGCCAGCTTTTTTGTAGTATACTAGGGCGACACAACATAAAATAAAAGAAGTGGAAAATACAATAGTACCCCTACGGTATTAAACTTAAAGAATAACAGACTTTTAACACTTCTTTTTCTTCACACCACAATCTTCTCCTCTTTCTCTTCTTGTTTGTCTCTTGTTGCTGGAAATTCTATCAAATAGAATAGCATTAGCCAACAAAATGGCATTACCCTCACTCCTACAAGGAGAGGGGTTTATATAGAGGAGGGAGGTGGTTAAGTAACTTCCCACCTCTCTCTTCTTAGGGTTAGGGTGCAAGTGTCACCCCAGTTAAAATGGGTAAGGAAGGAACTCTTCGATCCTAAGGTGACATATGTCCTCCCACTCAAAGTGGTTAAAGGAGGGAAAATAATTCCCTCTTCCTAGGGTGACATGTGTCACTCCACTTAAAGTGGTTAGAGGGGAAATAACTCCCTCTCCCTAAGGTGACATGTGTCCTCCAACTTCAAGTGGCTGAAGGAGGGTAACCCTCTTGTTAGGATAGGACAAGTGGCATCCCCTTTATAAATAAGAGGGACACCTCACAAGATTATTAATTAATATAAATTTAATTATTTAAGAGTTTGTTGTCCCATTAAATGGGTTCAACTACAAGCCCATTAAATGCTTATTGCATTATAAACAAGGCCCAATTAACTTAGGGCCTGTTATTCACTAAACTGGACTGCTCCCAGTCCGGAAAAATTAAGGACTTAACACAAAGCAAATAGCTTGAATGAATAATCCAATATAAGGTTCATCAGCTTCAAGTCAACATCCAATCATCATCCCTTTTTTAGATCCTAGAACATACAAGAATCAGGGAAAATGTTACTTTACAATTAGAATTTTTGGTAATATGGCTTGTGTACAACAAATTAATGTATAATTAGGGAACAAGAAGAACATATGAAAGCACAAGATTGGAATCTAAATTGATCACTCCCTATTCAGAGATATAAGAGAAAGAGACATCAGCAATTCTGACTTTACCTCTACCAGATAATGCATGAAATGATGAAAAAAGTGATGACATGCTAGTCATGTGACTGGAAGCCCCTAAATCAATTACCTGAGGGACACTAGAATCATGACAAGAAACACATAGATTACCTAAATGGACAAAAAAATGTAGAAGCAATGGCATCATTGTTGGCTTCCAGTTCAGTAAAGAGGTAATTTAATTAACACTTCCTTGGTGGTATGGAGATCCATTCAAAGAGGATCTCCCCCATAGGTGTGTTAGATGGCTAGGTACGGGCCATCAATAAACTTCTCACTTTATCAGCAATGAAAGCATTGTTGGCACTTGGCTTCTAGGGCTAGTTTCCTTTCTTGAAACATCTAGAAAAACTATGCAACTTAAAGTATGTACCTTTGGTGTGTCTAGTACCTTTGTAATATTCACAAACCAGATTCTCTTAATCTTCCTTGCTAGTAACTTGCCTCCTTCCAGATGCTTTGCTTCCGCTTGTTGCAGATACAAAAGCACGGTACTCTTGCTCCCTCTAATCAGGATTTTATTGCAATGCTCTTAGATGCCTCCTGTTGAATAATGGGGTAAACCTCATCAAGAGAAGGAATACCACCCCTGTTTGCTGAAATAGAGCTGTCGAATGAGAGAAGAAGAAGAAGAAGAAGAAGATATGAGATGGGCGGCAGGATTTGTTCTCAGCCAGCCCTAATCTATTACATATAACAACATTACATAATATTACATTAATAGACCAGAATGCCCCTGATTAGTGGAGGGACACCTAGTCAAATAAACACTAAATAAGATTAGGCCCAGTAACTAAGGCCCAATAACTAATGACTTAAGACCCAACAAGGATAAACATACAAATTAAGACAGCCGAACCAACACCACCCCTTCCAGTAGTTGCATTATAATTATATTAAATTTTGGATTCAATACAGATAGAAATTGAAACACCCTATTTGGTTCTTTAACATCTGATATTGCTCAACATCCTCAATATCCCTCCAATAAATAGCCCTATCACAATCCAACTCCTCCCATAGGGCTTGCAAGGCAACTAAGTCCATAGGCACATTCATCTCCACCTGTCAAAGATTGGCAATGTCTTGCCTAAGCTGAAATATCTTTGCCCCATTTCTTCTCTAAAAGCATGTCTTGTTTTGAGCAGTCATTTCTAAAAACATCATATTTTGACTGATTTGGAGTAATAAAATTCCATAACCATGACATAATGATCATGTTTAGATGATTACAAGAAAAAACAATCACATTCTCTTACTCCTTGATCTCCAACTATGGATCATCCTCAGGAGGCCTTTTGGCTTTTCTAATTAAACATCCAAGTTTAACTTGTCCTCTAATGTGTACTCTTACAAATTAGGATCACTCGAGGAAATTTGATTGGAAATCATTCCACTAGAGGTCAAAGTAATAGTAGATCTTGAATTGAATGACTCCTGGGCCATCTCTAGCCAACACCAACACTTGTTTAGATGAGATATGTACCAAGATGATAGAACAGCTTATATGATGGCATTACAAAATGAATGTCCATAGAACTTATCTTCCATGTGTTGACACTACAAAATGCAGTGATGTCTCAAACATTTTTTAATTCTTATTTTCATATGTTTCACCCTGTATCATTGGCACTGTGCTAAAAACTACCAAGAACTACAAATTAATGGAAGGAACTGCATCAATGCACATAACCCTGGATAATAAGATCAGAAACACCACAAATAGTTATATGTCAGTACTAGAAATCTCAATCTGATAATAAAATACATTTGAGACCACAGATACTGTACAATTTGTGCTCTCAAAAAATCATAATTTTAATAAAGAATTCATTTTCATAGTCATGATTAATATTCTAGAATTTAATTTTGTTATCATGAACTCTAGTGGCTAGTGCCATTCATAAACATTGATCTCCAAAGTGAAACTGAACAATCTGAAGAAGAAAGCACTGACAGACAAAAAAAAAACATTAACAAAAGTAAGCAGAACTTACCCCACAAAGAAACCTGTGAAATGCAACAACAGCACAGACAATATTATAATTCCAAAATCTCCAGATAACATTTGTTGAAAACGAAAAATTGGGGATTGATCAGAAGCCACTGATGCACCAACTATTGATGCTTTCAGGCGAACAACATTTTCTGAGAATACACTATCAAAGAGGAAAAGAAGGTTAACCTCTATGGAAATTAACCAAAGGAAGAAAAAACAGATGTGGTTAAACCATACCTGCAAGCAAGCAGTGATGAAGATAAAACAGCAAAAAGTGGTGCAAAAGGTGTAACAACCTTTACAGCAGCTGGAAATGTACTCTGCATATAAGAACCCAGCAGAATTGGAGCAACAACCACCTGGAAGGGAAACTCTTAATCCTCAGAAACCTACAGAATAAGAGCAGGAAAAGAATGCAATAACCAAGTTTTTATTAAAAGTTCTGAACCTGAAGGGTGCTGATGGAAAGTTTGGCAGCATCAACAGGAACATAAGCCCCAGCAAGAATCTTTGTCAAGACTGGAGTAAGAATAACTGCCCCTAGAGTGGTGCATACAGTCATTACAATGGATAATGGTACATCCCCTTGAGCAATTAATGTTACCTGCAACACTATTTCATGGAAATAGATAAATGAACCTAAAATATCATAAAAAGGAAGATCTCACTTTCAGGTATTCTGACATCTAATCCATTTATTTTGCCCTATGAGCAAGCCAGCGAAAAGGAGGAGGGTTGGCTAGGTCAGGGAATCTTCCCATTGAGAAAAGGTAAGGTATTATATTATATTATATTTATTTAGTGTTATAGGTCATGATACATGTTTCAACCAAGTATGCATCATGTACAGCCAGGGACTATACATCAACTAGGAGAGCTACAAAAACCTATGCTCTCCAAGCAAATACAAACAAAAAGTATAGTCCAAAAAGATCTGGGTATCAACTAAATACGGTACTATTGTCAAAAAGTTTTCCATCACAGACTAAATTCCTATAGCATAATGTAGAGACACAAGACACAGTAGACAAGTCTTGGTCTTTTTATGTTTGGTGCCATATTATTTGTTGATGTTTTACTGTTAATTTTTTGTCTTTTCCCTTACTTGTAAGGAAGCAGGGGTACTTTGTCATTGTAATCTTTTTTACTGACTCATAAATATCAATTAGTGGGGGTGGGGGCAGCAGAACCATTACATTCTGCTCTCCTCTGCTTCTTTTTCTCATTCTTCTCTTCTTCTCTTCTTCTTCCTATTTTTCTTGGTTGATCTCATACTAAACCTACATCTGCTACAGTTGTTATTTCAAGTCGGTATCAGTGAAGGAAGGAGAGATCCATCATATGGATGGCCGAACCATGCTAGATGGTTGGGCGAAATTTCAAAAATTTGTTTCTGCCTTCTGGGAATCGCATTCCCTAGTTTTAGAAAAAACTGCATTTTTCTAGGATCGTTCTTGCACCGAACCGGATCAGATTTGAAACCAAAAGGAGGGAGATGTATACCTGATACAGATTCCACAGATGTAGCTCCCAAAGTGGTAGTTCACGCCCAAACTTAATCCCAAAGCTAGCTTCCACTGAAGATGGCGCAGCTTGGAATGAAGCCGGTTCAGCAACGCAGTTTTCAGCAAACTGCAATCCAATTGTATGGATCGAACAAGGGAGATGAGCATGAAATTTCTCTGCAATTTTCTTGCAAAATTCAAAGAAAGAACTTATCAAAATCAGTCCAAGAAACTGGAGGTCGAACTAGGGTTTCTAGGCGGCAAGAGCACAGAGAGAGAGAACTGAAAGCAAAGTTACCAAAAGCAATTCGACCTCCTCTTCTCTTAATCCTTAAGGAACACCTCTCATAATCGAATTAGGAGGTTTATCCAAATCTTTATTTGGATCTGGGCTCTATCTTAAGATAGGTCTTATCCTCTTATGAGAATGGGTGCTCCAGACCTAGATCCAGACCCATATTCGCCTAAGTTGTCATGTGACATCTTGATTAATCTCATTAATCATGGGCTTTAGGCCCATTAAGCAAGTAGCTCATGTCCCAAGATAGTTGCTGGCCTATTTAAGTTCAATTTGTATGGCGTGGGACCCCAACAATGATCTCACATAAGCCCACATGGGTTCGGCCCAGCCTCCGTGAAAAGGCTTGGTCGAATTCACTGCTAAATGCAGTGAACCCCTAAGTCCATCAGTATGGGCTCAAAATGAGCCCAACATTTACAGTTAAATGATCCCTGAGTCCAACCATCCTATGAAGGCCCAAGGATAAAGGACTTAAGTAAGACATAACCCATCAGGTAAACAGCCCTTAATGGTCTCTTACACTCAACCTCTCAGCCCACAATGATCAAGCACTACCTGACAGGGAAGGACCTCTCCCCTGACTACAGGGTGCAGTGTTGCACTCTTTTCTCGGATGGGTCCCGGGAATCAAAACCTTTTGCAAGCACTTTTCTTAAAACATAATATATATATATATATATATAAAACATAATATATATATCAGTGTTTTAAAAGGCATGAGAGGTGTATGCCCAGAGGCGCACCTCCAGGCGAGGCGCTCCCAAAACGCCCTGAAGCGTATGCTAGAGGCGCTGACACCTCTGAGGCGTACGCCTCTTGTGCTTTTTTCATGAGGCATGCTAAAGGCGTACACCTCATGCACATCTAATATAAAAAGACGAAAAAAAAGAAAAAAGAAAAAAAAAGGAAAGGAAAGGAAAGGAAAAGAAAGGGAAGGGAAAGAAAAAGAAAGAGAAGAAAAAAAAGAGAAAAGGGAAGAAAAGGGAAGGGAAGAAAATATAAGGGGAAAGAAAGTGGTTTGCCCCCTGCCACTTCGACAAGACCCCCCCTTTCAACTAATGTTATGCATCTTTATTCTTCTTAATATAAAAGATTTTTATTAAAAATAAAGAAAAAATGAGATCCCCCCTTCCTCTTCATCCTCCTCCTAACCCCCCTCTTCTTAAGGACTCCTTGTGTTTGGGAGGCTTACGCCTCTTGCATTCTGAACTACGCCTCATGCCTCTAGGTAGTGGAACGCCTCGCGTCATGCCTCCACGTTTTAAAACATTGTACATATATATATATACAATGGTTTCCATCAGAGAGAGTGCAGTCCCGATCTTTCACTGTCCGACAAAGGGGCTGATCCTATCACTATGATCACCCACTCAAGTAAATTCTCAGACTGCCCCAACACACCCAAGTTTTGACCCCCAAAGGATCTCATTGATTGGCATATCAAAGACAGCCCGATCCGACACTCAATGTAGTACCAAAATCAAGTCTAGGGGTTATGTGTAACTTTCCAGTTTTGCCCATCAGTCTCCAAGGTCTAGGGTATAACTGGAAAATGGTCTGGATTCAGTGCTCCAAACCAAAAACACACTACATGTGATTCGGGTCTAACCCTAGCAGCCGAGACAGGCTGCCCCAACTTCTTTGGCAGCACATTAGTGTCAGCCTTGGCAGGATAAACTCCCCAAGTCTATCCAACGGCTGAGAACATTCTAAACTAACACGAGTCTCATAAGTATCTAGTTTAAGGGGTAATTACACAGAAACACACCAATGATAGCATGAAACAATTATGTACTTTTATTCATTACAATAAATGTATCAATACATCAATCTGATTGAAGCTAAGGGCATACATTGTCTAACAATTTCCACTTGCACTTAGGTCTAATCTGGTACAAGCCTCAGTCCCATAATGTCCACGTGTTTCTTAAACACTTTCTGTGTCAGTGGCTTAGTCAATGGGTTTGCCACATTCTCCGTTGATGCTACCTTCTGAATCTGGATGTCCCCTCTACCAACAATCTCCCGTAGTATGTGGTACTTCCTCTCGATGTGCTTGGACTTCAAGTGGGCTCTTGGCTCCTTAGCCTAAGCAATGGCTCCAGTGTTGTCGCACAACGGTGGAATGGGTGATGTGCTGGATGGAACAACTCCTAATTCGTGAATGAACTTCTTCATCCAAACTACTTCCTTGGAATCTTCACTTGCAGCAATGTACTCGGTTGGCTATGGATGCACGGAACTCAAATACACTTTCAAATAATTGACCAACTCTAGTTAGCAGTTTACTCGACAATGCATTTGCTAAGTTACTAGGACCACTATGTCTATTTGAACCAGTGACCGAATGTCGGGGGTTATTGTGATATTCCCTCTCAAGTGCAAGAGTTTGTGTTCTCTTGCAATGGATCGTGAATGTGATATTCACATTCCATCATGAACGACTCTTAAGTCGTAGCTGAGTGCACTAAAATCCCAATTGAAGAGCCCTTGTATGTGCACAGGCATAACAATGTCTTATCTGCTGGTTCGGACATGCTGCATAATGACGTATTGGAGGGAACCAATCAATTGTTAATACACAAACAATACAATCACGCATTGGGGGGAACCAATAAATCGTTGATATACAAACAATACAATCACAGATATTGGGAGGGAACCAATCAATCGTTGATACACAAACAATACAATCACACATATTGGGGGAAGACATTTTAGTAAAATTTTATGTTATGGTTTTTCGTTGAATGTATTAACATACTGAAGCACTCATTAATTTGTAATTTCTCTTTTACATCACGATATACTAAATATGGTTAGAAGATTCATCATCCTTACATTTTGTGAATAGTATAATATGACTGGATTTGATGGATGGGGAGTACGAGTCACAACTTGAAGCAATTCGGTCCACAGTGATATGTCAATGAAGTAAGGTTCGATGCCCAACTACAACTCTCAATAAATAGAGTTATGGGTCCAACACTGGAGAGTTAGCCACTTTATCAGAAAAAAGACCTCTAAATCCGCACCACACCTCACCCCTTTCAAGGCTCAGCTACTGGCAACTCACACAAGCTTTGATGACAAGAATCTACAACTGGACTGGTCTCACTCCAAAGAAGGCATTCAGTCTCAAGCGGTAAGCATATGCAATCTCCCTCTCTCTCTATGTATCTATCCCTCTCTCCGTCTATGTGTTTCCCTTATGTTTAGGCTCTCGTTGTCAATGTGTTTGCATCTAAATCTATATCTCAAATTCACTCTCTCTATTCTCTCTCTACCACTCTGTTTCCCTCTCCCTCTCTCTCTTTCTCTATCTCTATCTCTATATTCTCTCACCGGATCAGCCTATCACGAGTCCGAATACCTATATAGGTTGAAGGATTTGTAGGTGCCCACCAACAATATAACAAGCATAAAATTCCTTGTTTCCCAAAAAATTTCGGCGATCTTGCAAATGATTTAGTAGCTTATGATAGATTACTACATTTCATGTTGAAAGCATGATCATGCTAGTGGTGGTCCTTAATGGTGGTTATGTTGTTCGCACATACAACAAGTTCAACCCATATGGCATTGATGTGTCTTACTCTGATAGGCCGTGTAGAAAAATGTTTAGGATGACATGTGTCACAACACTCTACATCTCTCTCTAACTATCTCTATCCCTTCAATGTAGATAGAGGGCGTAAATTGACATTAATTGGGTAACCCCAACCTGTACACCCCGTGTTTAGTTTCTTACAGATAGTTCGATGGATAATCCCATAGTAGCTGAAGTCTCATTACGAT